AGGCGTGAGCCACCGCCCCCGGCCTCTCAGCCTTTCTTATACCTAGGTGTAGAGAGGTAACCCAACTCTCATCAATAGAACATGAGTGCAAATGGTAAATTCAACTTTGGTCTCCTTGCTTAAATAAAGAGAAATTGCTTGCCTTTGAGTTTTTGGGTTTTTCTCCCCTCCCAGGCTGGAACATGGACATACCAGTGATTCAGCTTTAACCACATAGATAGGATGATGGGCTAGCCTCAAAAAGCAGAACCAACCTCAAAACTTGAACTGCTCACTTCAAGAGTGAGAAATAATTACCCGTGCATTTCCTTGCTGCTGCTAACCTTCTGTGTTTCTGTTAGAGCAGAACAGCTCTAGCACCATTATCTTAACGAATGCTCTATGCATCTTCCTGTTGGTACAAAAATTTGAATATAGGCTATTTATTATGCTTTCAAAAGGCTTCATTAGCTACTTGCATTTTGGGGATTATGATCTGTGTCAGGCTGGCTAAGCAAGGACACCTATAGCTAAGTACCAAGATAGAATTTTAGAGATAATATTCTATTCTATTCTTTTTGCATTTTCTCTCTTCAAGAGCAAGAATCAGAAGTTTCCTTATAGACCATAGTACAAAGTGTTGTAATAGAGGTAAAAATCTCATTGCAACTAATCACAGTGCAAGAGAAACAACCGCAAAATTGTATATAAACCTCGAGCCACTGGAATGTTGGGGAGGGATACAAGAAAATACATCTATGAATAAAGCAGTAAGAAAAATTTTACATTTAAAAATTATCACAGAGCAAAAACAAAACCGTTAAGATAAAAACTGATAAAGTTCATTTTATACAAATTTGAAAATTTTATACTAAAAAGAAAACCTATCGTAGACAAAAGTAAAAGTCAAACACTAACTGGAAAAAAATAGTTGTAACATACATGATAAAGAGCAAATATTTTTACTATATAAAGAACTCTTACAAATTAGTAAGAGAGAGAAATATACTAGCATGAACTTAGCAAAGGAATGAAAATGTACCAATGGGAAAATGATGAAATGTTCTGGCAATCAGCCACGATCTTCAGTGTCCTGGGCCCAGTGCCCACTCTTACTGCAGACACCACTGAATTTAAATCCACCGTGGTTTTCATCCCTAATGTCCAAAATGTGACTCGGAGGCATCCAGTAACAATAATGTGTGTACTTCCTTTCCTCTGACATATTTCCTGGATCTTCCCAATCTCTCGAATCCTTTCACCTGGCCCCCGGAACTGTCCCTTCATAGGAACACTACTCACTTAGAGAATGCTTACTTTCCCATATCCTCTGTAGCACCAGGGCAGGAAATGGGGTTGGTGTGCTCATGCTCCCCATTGCTGCTTCCAGAACATTACTTCTCCACCCTCTTTAAAAACTTCTGTTCCTTCAGGTTATACACTTTGACACCCAACTCCTAGTCTTCTCTCTACTCTAAGCCATGACATCATCTTGGGTGATATCAAGGTCCACACAGATGATCAATATGACATCTTAGCTCCTTAGTTTCTTGACTTTATTTCCAATGATATTTTCTTCACTCAACCTCAACCACCAAATTCCTGTGATACCTTGTGATCGCCTGTAAGTAATCTGCCTCTAAAATTATTAATTTATACACTCTTTATGACATAATATACCTTTCATTCAGTTTCCACTGTGACCATACGTTGACTCTGCCTGTGTTCCTGGCCAGTTGACTGTCCCCACCCTACTTTCTCCTGGACTACCAGCTCTTCCTTTTCTTCCACTTATTTCTTTATATAGTTCAGATTCCATGGCCTACCATTTTAAGTAACATTTTTGTCTAAGCCCTAAACTTGTGTCTTTTTCATAATTTATGTCTAATATACATGTATTTGTGTAATTCTTTACTTAACACTGGTCACTATCACTAGACTCTGAGCTTCATGAGGGCAAAGAACCAGGTCTGTTTCTCCTTGCTATTGCTTCCCCAACTCCAGTCATAATGCCAGGCACATAGTAGGTGCTCCACAACATTTACTATGAAAGTATTATAATTTAAAATGAGCCAGGCATGGTGGCTCATGCCTGTAATCCCAGCTATTGGGGAGGCCAACATGGGAGGATCACTTGAAGCCAAGTGTTCAAGACCAGCCTGGACAACAGAGAGAGACCCCATTTCTACAAAAAATTTTTAAGAAAAATTAATCAGGTGCAATGGGGCATGCCTGTAGTTCCAGCTACTGGGGAGGCTGAGGTGGTAGGATCTCTTGAGCCCAGGAGTCAATGCTGCAGTGAGCTATGATTGCACCACTGCACTCTAGCCTGCACAACAGAGTGAGACTCCTATCTCTAAAAAAAATACGTAAGTAAAAATAAAACTAGATATTAGTTTTCATATACTCA